GACGAGGCCTTTCGAACGATACCAGGGCTCACCAGGCCGGCTGAGATATGACAAACCCAGTAGTGTTGTAGGCGTTGTTGAAATCATCGGTTACATGAACAACAACTATTATGATTTGATCAAAAACACCTTAGGTGTAAAAAAAAACAAGGTGCGGTAAAAAAAATGAGCGTGCGATTTAAAGAAATGAAATCAAATCAAAGGTGAAACCAAACTAGTAGCTACACTTATAACATTGTTAAGAATTTTACAGATAATATTCATTCATTAGTTAGCCAGGCCGCGTTTTTTGTTAAACTTAGGACATGATGGTGGGTAAAATCAAAATACGCGGGCCTGGCTAACTAATGAATGAATATTTGCTGTAAAATTCTTATCAATGCTATAAGTGTAGCTACCAGTTTGTCCACCAATTTTGATTTCATTCCTTTAAGTTGCATACCGAATCCTTTTTTGATTGCACCTTTTTTTTATTTCACACTTAAGGTGTTTTTGATTACATGTATCATATACACACGAGTGCATACAACAACTTTAGGAAATGCATATTTTTTGAATGAAAATAGTTTGCATAGATATACCATACTTTATTTATACTAGATGTATATTTCGTTTCACAAAATACCATACAATTAGGCCAACAATGATAATAATTCATGCTCTGCATCATTTTGGTGTGAATTAATATCTGAAGTAAAACAGTTCAATATAGACTTTGAAACAATAAAATCTTTTACAGCATTTTCCGTTAAATGATAGAGTGGTTTTAATATGAACAACTGTTTTAACAGTTTTTGTAAAATCATGTTAAATACAAAGTATTTTACATGTGCTTTATTAACTCATATATACAGGCTCAGTCATTTTTACCGACATTGTACACGCCACAAAAAATATGAAATAACTTTCAATTAACTTTTTTTTTCTAGCAGATTATAACTCAAAATTACAATCACTTACAGTAAAGTGGCCTCAGAAAAATTTTATTCAATTAAGAATGTGAAATATTTCCACACATAAAATAGAATGGCCTAAAACTTCTATAGTTTATCTAGCTTTCTAATTAACACAGTTCCCCCCCCCCAGTAGTACAGTGGCTTGTCCGTGGACTTATACCACAAGAAACCGGGTTTTGATACCCGTAGTGGGCAGAAGACACATAGCCCATTGTGTAGCTTTGTGCTTAACTACAAACGAATGAATAACTAATAATACCTGGTCAAGCAGAGTCCCAACAGCGAGATTGAAGAAAATGATGCTGAGACATCCAAATTATTATTCCACTGTCAAAGACCTTTAGACCCTATAGCTGTCAGTTCTGTGAAACCTCCACCTTTTATTGGTTACAAATAATACAAGAGCAAACGTCAGAGAGAATTTATGAGGTTTAGAAGGCAGGATGTTCAGTGGAAGGCATGGAATTTGACCAGTATATTATTGCTGATAGCTCCATAAAGCAAAAGCTGTATTGGTAGCAAATTCTCACTAGAAATTGAGAGTTTAGCTCAAGAATATATACAATGTAAGTGCAAAATTCCACAGAAAATTACATTGCCTTAGAGGGTAGCAGAAAATGTTGAAATAAATAGTTTAGACTGAAGAAGTGTATGCAATATACAGAGTGAAAATTGGCATTTGTGTATATATACTTTTAAAGGTATGAAATTGAAACTTTTATGTTATTAAAACTTGATCTATAAATTATGTTTAATGTCAATTTTATTGATATACATTGATAATAAAGTAGTTTAATTAAATTTAGAATGTAACTGTAAAAGGTTAACTCTACCAATACGGTATTTTATACAAGATCTTAAAAATGATAAATTTTATAAGGGATCTTAAAAAGAACTAAAAAATCTACCTTAGGTATTGTAGATAGTTCATTTTTTTTTGTAACATTATTCAAGTATAGCACAGGATAGCTGAGACAAGGGTGAAGGTTGGAAGTAACTTGCAGTAGAATTATTAGGGTGGTTATTATTCTACTTTAGGAATTCTTAGAACTTTTAAGGGCAGAGGATGGTAGGTAATGTTTAGTAGAAATATTTTATTTCTTTAATACATCCCTTTAAGGATAAATGCCTTCTCACAACTGGCTGCAGACATTGAAAGGCAGTAAGAGTTTAGAAGTTGTGGGTATAAGCACTCAACTCTACACCCATAATTAATTTTCCATGACTGCTAACTGGTTTCTCATCTACTTTTTGTCTGACAGATGGGGATATCCCCTACACTTTTGAGTGCTATTACCACAGGCAATCTCCTTCATGACCCTTGGATTATGGCTAGATAGTGCGATGATTTTGTGAAACGTTTTGGATTTTTTCTTATAATAAGTTCATTATTGTTTTATAGTGCTGATTTTGATTGCCTATTCACTATCAATGAAACTGATATACTAATTTTGAAGCTATTCTCCTGAAGATATATTCAAGTTTAACACGGGAACGCTGAGACAAGCCCAGCTACTTCAAGTTAGTCTTTCCCTCCCAGTTATACTGAATAAAATTACTTGAAAAATTGCAATTAGCTACTTAAAAGTTAAAGTAACTAAATATCTCTTTATTTTATTTATTTTTTATAAGGCATTTTCTTTAATCAATAGTTTAATTTCTAAAATATTTTTGTATTTATTATAAAAAAGTAAGGTATTTCTTTAATTGCCTGTCTTTACAGCCATTATCTTTTAGTTTATATTTTAATAATAGAACATTATCCACAAAAAAATGATAGTTATTACAGATTATTAAGAATCGTTTTAGTTGAGATATAATAATACCTTTTAACATGATGTGCGGAATAACACTATTAGGTGTGGGTAGACCAAGAATGGGAAAATTAAATTCTCTTCTTTTATCAAAAATAGTCAACCGCACTGTAAGATCTATGAAAGTAATGTCCAAATCTAGATAATTAGCATGGATCTCATTATTATTATTACTTCTTTCTTTGCAAGTTCTGTTGGATATTTTAACTTTGGTGCAAAATTCATAAGTTAGGATTTAAAATCTGTTTCATTAATGATGTTTCTTAAAAGAACTGATACAGTTTGGCCATATTTGAAGAGAAGTTCATTCCCATCGGAATACCCACTGTTTGCTTATATACTTGTTTGTTAAAAACAATATAACTGTTATAAATACAGAAATGGGGTATATTTTTACATTAAATTCTAGTAAAGTTAAATTTGGGTATAGTTATTTTATCATTTATAAAGTTATCAAACAAATCACTGTAAACCCTGATTAAATCTTTTACGTCTATTTGTATATAATGTAGTAAAGTCATATGTAAAATTCTAGTGTAAAAACAGAACTGGCAGTTTTTGAAGAATTTAAATTATTTAAGCATTCCAAAAATGGAATGTTATTTTTAATAATCCAAAAATAATTATTCTGGTTATTTGAAGACTGTGGTTTTATTTTTTTAAACAAGACATCTAGAATATTGTTAAGTACTATGGAAACAGATTCAATGACCGTATGTAAAGAATTAGTAATAAATCTGAACTTCACACAATTTTTATTTAATTTTGGAATTGCACATAAAAAATTGTAAATTTGTACAAGAATAAGCTTTTTGGATATTTCATTTTTTTAATAGCCTTATTTAAATTAGTAATAACATTATTTTTCTTTAAAGTACTTTTAGTATTAATTTCATTAAGTAAAATTTGTGAGTATAATTTCTTTATCAATCAGGGTAATAACAAACTGTTTTTGAATTTATTTTATTATATTTTTAAAGACATTGAAAGAAATATCTAATTCATATCGAGATAAGTTTAAGGTTCTTCATCGATTTTTTATGGAATTGATAAAATATAATTTCCATTCACAAAAGAGACATGGTTGATAATAGGATTGTTTATATATTTCATGAATATAATCATCAACATTTTTTTTAAGTCTTTTAAGATTTAATTTTTTTTGTGTGTTTTAAAATTCTATATTTAGTAACTTTCTTTAATACTATACTGATTGTAATTCTTTATCATTGACAACTTCTAAATTTCTTGCAAATATATGATTATGAAAAATATCTTTAAAAACACTATTATTACAGTTACAAGTTAAGTTGTCAATTTCTATTTGATTAAATTCTTCATTGAATTTTTTATAGTTAAAGAGAAAAGGTCCTATATGTTTATTATATTTAAAACTTACTATACGTTGAAACAATTTTATGGGAAAAATATCTTCTTGAATACTTTTATGGATCAGGGAAGTTAAATGTAATATAAACTTTATGTTTAAAATCAACTACCATACAAGATTTTTCTTTTTTCTTGACTGAAGGGAGTATACAATTCCATTTTAACCTCAATTTAATTAGATCTATAATTAAATCTTCAACATGGATATTTTTAAATTCAAATACTTGTTTTATGATAAATTTCACCTGAATATACCTTCAGGAGAAAGGGAGGAGGTTGGGAGTAAGAACTATTTAAGAACTTTTAAGGTATGGTGTATATTTCTATTTAATATTTTTTGTTATGGTGGAGGTTGGGAGTTTAATTAGTAGAAATATTAGATGGAGTATTCCCAACGCATTTGGGTGCTATTATCACAGACACTATCCATTATAAAAAAAAGTTTACAACCTGGACCAATAATGGTAATGCGATATTTAATTCATTATTGTCTTATAGTGCTGATTTATTCGCCTATTAACAATTGTTGTAATCAACAGTTTGCGAGCTATTTATTTATTTATATATATATATATATATATATATATATAT